TGACAGAAACATGTGCATAGACAGGCTGCCTGTTGGGTATCCAGCCTAAGAGATGATCACCCTGCAGTGGTCAATCCTACTTCCTTCTCCACAGCTTCCCACAGGCTGAAGAATTTACATATCTGCCCACAGTAAATGTACTGAGGGCTTTACACTAACATAAAGCCCACAGAAATCAAGCAGAAAGGGACAGTTCATAATGTGTGTGAACAGATCCAGTTCATGAGTTTCGTTCATGGCTGTTCTCATTCTGTATCCGTTTACAGTCCAAGCACGTTGACCACTGCTTACTTTTTTATTTGATATAGTCCTTGCATTTTCATGCCTGCCTGTCCATTAAGTAAATAGTACATGTTTTCCATTTGCCAATGTTTTTCAAACGGTTTCTATCTCCTGGAGGGCTTGTTAAGCTAGATTTTGGGGCTCTACCCCCAGGGATCCTAATTCAATAGGTTTGAGATGGGGCCAGAGAATTTGCTTTTCCAACAAGTTTACAGGTGATGCTGCTGTTGCTAGTCAAGGAACTGCAAAACTAATATGCCAATTTTCCACAGCCAATGCAATTTGAAGAGAAATGAAACAATAAATTAATTTTTTAAATTTGCTAGAGTAGACAGAATAAACATGATAAAAGTAGGATATGTTCATTATACAAGAATAACCAGGGTAATTGGGATGGGCAGTCATGTTTTCGAATAAAATAAGAGATTATTTGCCATGACATTCTACATTGTTTTGGTTTTGAAAAGCTGACCCTAACAATATTTACAGGCAAGCATAAAGTCTCCTTCTATTCAAATATAGTTGATGACAAAAAGGACACGAAACTAATTTTGCATTTCAAGACATTCTAGATGGTTGTCACACATACTGGCATAGAGCAAGACCGATCCTTTAAGAGAATAAAAAGTAAGCCGAGTCCATAGTTCTTAGTTAAGAAGCTGTCTTTAATTGCTTGATTTCTGAATTTTTGTGAACCACATGCCCTTCTCTGAGCAAACACTGGGGCAATGTTTTGGAGTTTATTACTTTCTCACTTACAGTTCTGTACTATTCAATTTTATTTATTTATTGACTACTAGAGGCCTGGTGCACAACCTTCGTGCACTGGGGGAGAGGGGTCCCTCAGCCTGGCCTGCGCCCTCTCGCAGTCTGGGACCTCTCAAGGGATGCTGACTGACTGCTTAGGCCCTGAGCAAACACTGGGGCAATGTTTTGGAGTTTATTACTTTCTCACTTACAGTTCTGTACTATTCAATTTTATTTATTTATTGACTACTAGAGGCCTGGTGCACAACCTTCGTGCACTGGGGGAGAGGGGTCCCTCAGCCTGGCCTGTGCCCTCTCGCAGTCTGGGACCCCTCAAGGGATGCTGACTGACTGCTTAGGCCTGCTCCCCACCTAAATCGGACATCCCCCAAGGGGTCCTTAGTGCCACCGCTGTGTTCACCAGCCATGAGCCCAGCTTCTGGCTGAGCGGCACTCTCTCTGTAGGAGCACACTGACCACCAAGGGGCAGCTCCTGCATTGAGCGCCTGCCCCCTGGTGGTCAATGCGCATCATAGCCACCGGTTGTTCCGCTGTTCAGTCGATTTGCATATTAGCCTTTTATTATATAGGATGATCCGATACTACTTTTAAATTGAAAATAAATGAGACAAGAATTTGTTAATCCTATTTTTAGTAAATACTAAAGCATTGTCATAAAGTGAAATGAAGGGAAGAACATATTAATCTCAATAGAAGTTACTGGGGTCTCCAAAGGACATGGTTAAAAGGCAATTGTCCTACAACAAAAGCTTGAGAGAGGGGTTGTAAGTTTATCTGAGCATGTGGTTGGTTGGATGGTTAGCCATTACATAGAGATTTCCCATTGGAAGTATAGTTTAGCAAAGCAAAGGTTGAGAAGATTGTTTTTGTTCATTTAGGATTTTGCCCCCAAATTTAAAATTAGAAAAAGGGGCCCAGATAAAATTACATTTCTGTTCTGTGAAAAGTAATAAAAGAACTCATTGACAGGAATGTTATTTCACTAAAGTTTGAATGTTGTTGTGTTTTACATAATTATTTGGTGTATAGAAAACCGGAGTGCCAATTCATGAGAAAGACAAAGGGTGACCCAGCGATTCCACTTCTGGGTATATATCCAAAGAAACCTAAAACACTAATTCAAAAGAATCTGTGTACCCCTGTGTTCATTGCAGGGTTATGTACAATAGCCAAGGTATGGGAACAACCCAAGTGCCCATTAATAGACAAGTGGATAAAAAGCAGTGGTACATCCTATATAATAAAGAGCTAATATGCAAATGGTTGTCACGCCCTCGCACCCTTGCACCCTCGTGCCAGGGACAGGGGACCTGAGGCCAGGCCAGGTGACCTGAGGCCGCGCCCCCTGCCAGGCGCTGGGCCCCTTGCCCTGCGGGGCTTGACAGGCATGGGGCTGGCTGGGTATGGGTCTCACACGATTTCGAGGCATGAGCAGGTGGGTGGAGACTTGACTCTGGGTCCCGCGGCGTGCCCCAGACTCTGACAGGAGGGAGATTTTCATATACATTTTACTAATTTTCTTTCATCTCTGACACTTCTGTTATAGAGAATGGGCAAATAGCAATATTAAAATATTTCCTCTAATTCCCTTTTAGTGTGCACAAATTTTGTGCACCAAGCCTCTAGTATATATATAATGGAATATTACTTGGGAGTAAAAAGGAATGAAATCTTTCATTAGTGAAATAAGTCAGTCAGAGAAAGACAAATACCATATGATTTCACTTACATGTGGAATCTAAAGAACAAAATAAATGAACAAACAATTGAAAAGACTCAGATACAGAGAACAGACTAATGGTTGCCAGAGGGTAGGGGGCTTGGGGGAGTGGGTGAAAAGGTGAAAGGGATTAAGAAGTACAGATTGGTAGTTACAAAACAGTCACAGGGATGTAAAGTACAGCATAGGGAATATAGTAAATAATACTGAAATAAATATGTATGGTGCCAGGTGGGTACTGGAATTATCTGAGGGTGGAGGTAGGGAATAGATGGTTCCTTTGTAAAATAGATGGTTATCTAACCACTATGCTGTACACCTGAAACTAAATACAAAATAATATTGAATGTAAATCATAATTTGAAAAAAAAGCCAAAGGGGAAAATGCTTTAAAAATATTATAAAAGGAATCAACGAGGTTTACCAAGGCTTCCCCTTAGGCTTAGAGCAAGGATTCCAATTCCTCTTCAGAGAATTAGTATCCTCTCCAACACACCTGGGCTGCTCCCCGCCCCCCCCCCCACACACACTTCCTAAGAAAAATGAGAGCCTGTATTTCCTCCTGAACTCCAAGTAAGCCTTCACTGCATAACTCCACAAGACAGAATCCTGGCAAATTAAACGGTAGGTAAACATAGGAACAGGATACAGAATAAGTAAACATGGACAGGATACAGCTCTCTTGCAAAAGCCAGTATTTAACAAATGTTATGCCTAATGAAGCACATTCATCTGTTTTTCATAATTTTCTGTTTTGTTTTAATACAAGACCACCAGAAATTTTTATCGTGGCAAACATTTATTCATTTTTTACTTTAGCATTTCATTGAGTTGCCATGTTCTATTTTATTTCCTTTAGTCTTAAAATGTTACTTTTGTAACAACACTACAAAGTAAAAAAAAAAAGGCTGCACTAAGTTTCTCAATAGTAAAGAGGGTCAGCTTTGAAAAGATACTGTTGTTGCTATGTTGGAAGAAAATGCTTGTATACATTTATAAAGCACTGAAGTACTAGGTAAAATAGGGCTTGCTCCTGATTTCTTTTGTTTTCTTCGCCATTAAGCTTACTCTGGGTTTGAAACAGGGTTTGCTCTGCAGATCATGACGCGTGCGGTGATAATGAACAACTAAAGTGATTCTAGAAATGCCTAGGGAAAAACGTCTAATGATTCTTGTGCATCTATTTAGGTTGCTTTTTAAAGCTCTGAAAAGTCTGTCGCGCCAGGTGTTCCTCATTTCCACTGGAGGACTTGGAGCGTCCCACCAGGTTTCCACCTGTCTCCTTTCCCCCTCCGGCTCTCAAGTTTCCTTTCTCAGAGATGTAGGCAGCATTCCTCTGAGAGCGGATTCCGCAACTGGCTTTTCCAGGCTGCCTGGCCCCACGTGATGTCCCCTAACACCTGTACCAGCTCAGCTCACAGCGCCCCCATCCCCACCGCCAGGTACAGACCCTGCCTGGCTCCCCGGCTCCCCCTTCCCTAGGAGGTCTCGATCCTAGTGCGAGCCTCGCTCGGGCCGGCAGGGGAGGGGCTGAGCTCCGGCCAAAGCAGCAGCTAGAGCCCTAGCAGCCTGATTATCACATGACTCGACGGCGGCGGTAGCCGTGGCAGCAGCGGCGCCGGCTCCGCGGGCTCGCCCGGTGGG